GAGGGCTGCGGGGCCGGGCCCGGCGGTGCCTGCAGGTGGGCTTGTCGCTGAGGGGCGGCCCGGTGCCCGCAGGCAGCGGTGTGGCATTCTCTGGGTTTGGTTATAAGGAAAGAGAAATCTCCAAAATAAAGAGAAGTGCGTGTGATGCTTCTGGGCTCTTGCTCCTGTAGGGAGCCCGGCATCCCCTCCCTCCCCGAGAGCCCTTTAAACGACTTGGGTGTCTGCAAAGGGGTGCCGTGGGGGGCAGGTGGGTGCCCAGGGGTCAGGGAGCAGGTCCCCGGGGAGCAGGCGGCTCCCTTGGCTGCGGGATTGTGAAACGGCTTGTGCCAGGCCACTCTCTTTCCCCGGGGTTATAACCTGTCAATTCTTGCAGAACCCAAGCATCTCAAAGGACCTGTCAGTGTGAAGATGTCCCTGCGTGACTTGGGCACAGCGGTGGGGGCAACTGCCTGCTGCTTGGCACCTTCCTACAGCAGGGTCACTCACAGTTGTGTCACTGGTTTAAAACCTGGTGGCAGCCACAGCTCAGCGTCTTTGCTGCGCAGCTTGTGAGCCTTCACAGGGAAAAGCTGCATCTTCCTTCTCCCAGCATCAGCTCTCGTCCTGTCACCATCCAGAGGGTCCTAGTGTGGCTGACATGGTGGTTGCTGCCTTCAGTTGGTACTGGGGGATGAACCTCTCTCTGCAGCAGGGTGAGATGACAGGAGGCACCTGATGTCTCCCGCTCATGGTGTGGAGGCTCACCAATGCCTTGGTGACCTCCCTTACCTTGTACTGGCACAGTTGGCTGCAGAATGGTCTAGGAAGGTTTGATGATACTTGTTCAGCAAACCAGGTCACTGTGTTGCTGCATAAATTCCCTGCTGAAGGTGGAGGAGGTGTAAATGGTGAAGGGTTTAATCTCCTTTTCTTGTTTCTAATAGTGTTCTGTGCATGAATCCCTGGTTGCTAAAGGCTGTTGGCATTAACTCATGCCAGCTTTGGCCAGCTGTGCTGGTGTTTGTTCCAGACAGTGACCAGCAGACAGGAGGGGAGTTAAAACACTGACTGCATGGTGTTTTCCTAAGCTGAATCCCTCCCCAGTCAGTCACTGACTCCAAGTTCTTGGGCTTGGTGTCTGCACCGAGCGAGGATCTCTGCTAGAGTTCACAGAGGCTGGCTTCTCCCGCAATCTGGTTGCTTGAATGCTGCAGGTACTAGGGCTGATTTCCTAAGCTCTGTGAGCTGAGGCTGGTCATGTTGTACCCTGCGAGGGCTGACACCGTGGCCTTTGCCTGCCTCACCCAGGCTTTTTCCAGCCTGCCTGCTCCTGCCCTGCGGGCAGGAGGAGCTGGTGTTTCTGGCAGAAAGCTCTTCAGAAACTTTCACCTGTCTGCAGTTTCCTAGCCCTGATGAAAACATTGCTGTGCTCAGGCAGGCCTCAAGCAGATGACCATGGCCGCAAACATGTGAACCCACCTGCTGCTGGGAACAGAGCTGGCCTGGCCAAGCTTCTCCTGACACTGGCACAAAGCTGGAGTTGTCTCTGCCTTTCTCTGCCCCACTTCTGGTGGAGCTCCTGGCCTGGTGCTGCCCTGATGTCCTTGAGCCATCCTTGCTCAGCATGGCTTTTGCTGGTGGTTTAGCAGTGGGGAACAAGGCAGATCTGGGGAGATGTGGGTAGATTCTGCCCTGTGTGAGCTTGTGAGGATGAAACTCTTGTATTGGTCTGGGCAAAACAGAACAGCAAGGTCATATGTTTTGAAAATAACATGGGAAAGTGCAACCCTCGTCTTGCAAGAAGATGCTGGTACCTCTGGCTGGCACCAGGGTATGGTGATGCTTTTGAACTTCTTGGGACCTTTCTTTGTTGAAGAAACAGAAGACATAGTAGGTGGCTTGTTGCTTTGTGGTAGGGTCAGCTTATGAAAACAGACAAGTGCCAACTGCCACGAGCTTTCATGCAAATAAAGCGACCCTTCGCCAAAACTGCAGTCTGTTAAGCTAAAGCAGCTTATCAGGTGCTTAGTGTTGTTGAACCAACTGTTATAACTAATGCTTGTCTCTTCTTTGCGACCCGGTGGCTTTGCTTGTCTGTCTGCCCTTGAGCATTAGCAAAACACTTTCTGTGAAGCAGGGGAGTCGGGCTGGTGAGGCAAATCTACCCAGCTGCTGACGTTCAGGTGGCTTAACAGCACTTGGCCATCATACAGTAGCCAGCAATAAGTGTTTGGATCAGACACAAATATAACTGGAGCTGGACCTCATCAATTGGTGAAGTTTGGATCCCTGTGTGACCACAGTCCTCTCTAGGACTGTCCTCAAGGGCCAGCTCTTTTGACATGAGGCCTGCTTTCCTGTAGTAAGTGTCAGGCTTTTGCTGGGGGACTTAGGCAGCCTCTGCGTGCACACGTGATGGTTGGGGTGTGCTAAATCAGGCCTCTGAGATGGCGGGTGTTGTGTCATGGGCTGATCTAAAAGAGGCCGTGGCTGTTCTGCAGTAGCAGATGGAGAAGTAGGAACATGACGTGATACTTTCATAGTCTTAGAAACTAAATTTAAGGCAGAATGAGAACTGGTCACAGTAGAAAAGCACATAGCCCTTTTCTGCGTTTGGGGGCTGGGAGACTCCTTAGGGAAGCTTCAGAGCCCACCTTGCCTTATCCATCTAGAGTGGGGTTTATTTACCAGCTTGAAGAGCTCCTGCAGAAGCAGCGGATCTGAATGAGACATGCTACAAATGTCCCTAACAAAGGTTGCTGGTGGTGGTCGCCCTCTTGTTGGCTTGGCCACCGGCTGGATGAAGTCCCTGTGGTGGTAGCACTCCTGTTGGCTTGGCCACCAGTCTGAAGGACCCTGTGGTGGATCTGGGTGTGGTGTTGGGCATGGGTGTTTCCACTCCCCACCCTCCATCACTAGCAAATACCTCACTAGCTCGTGCCTATAACTGTTGTGATCCAAGCTGGGAGCAGTCCCAGCTTTCTCCTCCAGGAAAACATCCTAAAAATGGGAGGGCTCAAATGGCACTGGTGTTTTACATACCCAAAGACTTGAGCCTACCTCAAAGAGGATCTGCATTGGCACTGCTGCCTGTGCTCCTTCAGGAGCAGTGCGAACCGATGATGTTTCCTTGCTGAAGAAAGTAATAAGGAGCCTATTGGTTCGGAATCACTGTTAGTAGTGCTCCATTTAATGGTTGTCAAAGACCTGTTCTGTTCTCCACTAAGACGTTAAAGAATAGTATTTGCTGTCCAGTTCTTCCTTGGAATGATTTGTACTTGCTTGTCTGCCTGCAAAATGAAGGAGGATTCATGATACCAGCGTCTGTAGCACTTGCTCGCAGCAGAAATGCAGAAATAGTTTTGTCTTGTGGAGTGGTAGACTGGTTGGCATACAAGCTCTCGATTAGGCTTTCACCTTGTCCCCCAGCCTGCCCCCAGTAGCCAGGACGGTCCCCTCCAGTGAAGCTGCGTGCCCAAGGGGCTGTGTTGTGAGTCCTGGCCCTGGGGCTCGGGACTGGCTTGTCCCAGCTAAGCTGTACATAGTGAGCATGAGCTTTGGGTCACAAAGCATGGTGTGCGAGTCTTTGCCAGCATCACTTTGCAAAACACGGAGAGCCATGGCTGGCTTTAGTCCAGCTGTGACAGCCTTGTCTCTGCTGGCGGCAGTGTTGTAGGAGGGGATGGTGCGGCTCCATGAAGCCAGCTCCCAGCAGTGCTGGGGCAGTGGAGTCCGTGAGCTCCTCTGGCACCACTTGAAAGTGAGCTGCTGCGTTGAAGCACGACCTGGCTGCCTTCATGCAGGCCCTAACCAGCCGTCTGGGGAAGGGCAGTTTGGCTTGTGGTAGCGGTTGAACTACTAGCACAAGTTAAGCTGCTGACAAGGCTCCCGTGGACCCTGGCATCTTACCTTCAGGCAAGCAAATCGCCGCAGGTCTCTGCCGCCGGCAGTGACAGTTTGGCTCTCCCAAGGGATCCCCTGTCGGCAGTGTGCTCAGCTCACCATGGTTAAGTGCAGGAGGCTCTCTAGTGCTGCCCACCTACCTTGAGGTGGTGTTAGTGCTGGTGTGCAAGTCACTACCTGGAAATGGCATGGCTGGGTGTGTTACGGGTGTTGTAAACGGGAGCTCTTGCGTGTACTTGACTGCCTACTGCTCCCGACACCTGTGGTAGAAGGACTGGGGCTGTGATGACTGGCCAGTGGGCTGGCATGTCCCAGTGACCTGAGAGCTGCTCTCGTTCTCCTAAAAATTGGGGTCCAAACTGTCTCTGAAGTTTCACATGATACTTGGTGTCCTTAACGGCTCAGATGCCACAGTACAGCCTTGCTGGCAGAGGTCATAATGCTCAGGGGTGGGTGCAAGGGAAGCAGTCTGTGCTGTCCTCCGGCCACTCTGCTCACACAGTAGTGACCCTGTGTAGCAGCAATTGGGAAGGTGAGCTGTTTGGTTGTCCAGCCTTCATCCCTCAGTGTAAATGACCTTTTATTTATGTGTCTTTAATTCTTTTACAGAGCAAGCCCACAGCAGTGAAAAGGGAATCTCTTCTCCCTGTGAGCAGCACCTCCAAAGAGAATGGGGTTCGTGTAGAGGAAGATGATCAGGACTTATTTGCAGGTGGGTCTGTATCTGCTGGGTGTTTGCTGGGGCTTTCTGAACTCTAAGCCTGGAGTGATCTGGTTTTAAGCATGACGTGCAGGTCATGGGTATTTCTGGACTATCGCAGGCCGTTATCTCAAACTTGTGTTCCAGCCTGCTCTGAAAGCACTAAGCTCTGGTGGTGTTTTTGGGAAGGTCAGAGTAGCATGATGATACAGCAGGATTAACTGTTTGGAACCTGAAGAGGATTAAAATGGGGTTTGCTTTAGTTTTGTTGCCTTAAACTGTAAGGTGGTGAGTGTCTTCTCAGAGTTAAAAGACTTCTGCTCTCTACTTTCTCCCTCCATGCAGGTGGAGGAAGCATCTCTAGTAGAGATGTGGCTGTTCCCAAGGAACAGGAAAGATAACACCCCTCAGCAGAGGAAAATGAGGAGGCTTAGGCCTTCCCCAGCTCAGGTCTGGCGGGACACCTCTGGTAGAGGCACCTGAGAGTCAATTCTGGAGACACCTGCTAACAGATGAAAGTTTTTACTTCCTCTGAGTGGAGAAGTGTACGGGGAAGGAGCCTGCTTTCTAGGCCATCCTATGTGCTTTGTCCATCTTGGCTTTAGCTGTTCTAGAGTGCAGCTCCTCTGGCATACAACAAGAAGGTGATGCCTGGCTCCTTCTAGAACAAGAAGTTCATTGGATTAACTTAATGTTCTCCAGCAGGATTGATCAAATGCTCTTACTGCAGTGAAGATGCATTGAGTCATGCTATTCACAGTGCTTATAGGTGTCATCCCTGTGGATTTTTTTTTTTCTCCCTAGAGCCTATCAACTTCTCTGAGAATATTGAAATTACCTTTCTGGAAACCCAAAGTAGAGAGGCTGACCCTTACAAACTTCTCTTGACAGATGCTACTGTAGAGTTGTCTCTAGACAGCACGCAAAACAGCCAGAAGAAGGAACTGTCCAAAGCATCCAATCCTGCCCCCTCGTTAGAAGTAGCTGCAAGCTCTTCTAGAAACCCTCCAAAGAGCTACGAGGAGGTGAGAATTGCTCTGAGCTTTCCAACTTGCCCTGCTGGTTTCAGACTGTAATTGGCAGCAACCTGTCTGTTTACTTAGTTGTGAACATGCATCTTAAATTATGCAATTAATGTAATTGCCATGTTGGATGCCCGGCTTGTATCTCAGGCCATCAGTCTGGGACTGATACCACTGAAATGGGGTTCAGATCAGCATGATGGAATTCTTGCTTGTGTTGTGGTGCAGACTGCTCCCAAAGCTGAAGTAGCAAGCAGCTGATCTGGTCCTGAGCATCTGAGCTCTTGACTCGGAGCTCTGGAACGCTGTATTGTCACAGACGGGGCAAGTGGTGTAGCTGCTTTTGTCCATGTTTTTAAAGGAAACAGTCTCCCAGGTGACATGAGAGCACAAGGTCCTTAAGTGAAACTTGTAGTCTGGTTGCCAGGACCAGTTAATCAGGTGGTACTTGGCCTAAATCTGGGTTTTCTCCTGTAGAGAGACAAGTTTATTTTGGACACAAGGGAAGTGCTCTTTTCCTGCCCCAAGCACCCCTGAGCTCATGAGCATGGACTCTATAGTGCTGTCAGGAGTAGTGTCTCAGTCTGTCTTCGGACTGGCTTAAGTGAAGGAGCAATGCAGAACTAGGCCAGGATCCTGAGCTGATCAGTGAACTGATAAGCTGTCACCTTCAGGTTCATATACCAAAGGCCATTTTCCCAGTCCTTTAACAGCGTTCCGCTAACAAGGCACTGCAATGCTTGCTAAGCAAACCTGAAGCCTCTGTGGTCTGTCAGAGGCAGTACTGCTGGTACAGCTGCCCACTGGCCTCTAGCAAAGCAAGGTATGATAAGACCTGTTCAGACTGAGTCTGCCTGTTGCTGTCCTGGCTCTCATCTCTGTGTGCCTACACAGTACAACTTACCTTCTGCATAGGTTCGGTATCTTACGCTGTTTTGGATGAGAACTGAAGTTATGATGTAAAAGAGCCCAAAGAGAACTATCTTGTGCAGAGCTGAGGCTGGACTCAGCAGAGTTTCACCTCGGGGCTGAGCAGTCTGAGCAGATAGCAGTGTAGTAAGGACAAATCCAGTTTGGGATCCATGGGACATGTAGCCTGGACACAAATGAGAAGCTCGAGGGCTTTATAGAATGGCCTTGGCCAGACTGAGGTGCCAAAGATGCCCTGGCAGTGTGACGAGCTCAGCGCAGTGTATGGGACTTCACAGTTTGGGGTGGTTTGAAGCCTGGCTTTCTAGTTTTAACTTGGTGTCCTTGTGTGCTTCCTCCAAACAGCTGGAAGAGGAGGAACAGGAGGACAAATTTGAGCTGACTGTAGGAGTGAGTGACCCAGAGAAAGTTGGTGAGTTAAAAGTCCTGTCCTGCTGCACGGTGAAACACAGTTAGACAAGCTAAGATTGGCAGTAGGACTGAATGCAGCTGTCACCTTCGTGCCACAGCCCCAGCTTTCGAGCTGTCTCTGCAAGCACAAACTTGATCCTGGAGTAACTTCTCCAAGACTTCTTCCAACGTCTTGAAGAAATGAAGCTACACAAAGCAAAATGCCTAGGTCCCAAATGAGTGAGGCAGAAGCAGGTTCTGGCAGGTCAGGGACTTCAAAGGCAGGCAGCAAGGAGTGAGTGTTTTGGGAGGGGGAAATGTGGTGCTTGTGGTAGTGGAGCTTGGTGTCTGGAACTGTGGTGACCAACTTGACTTGACCGCCAGTGAGCCCTGTGCTGTGTAGGTTGGCAAGGGGGAGGTAAAACTGCCTTAACCTAAAACTGAGTGTTCCATGCTCTGGCACCTTTCTCTAGCAGCTGTGCTTGCCAGGGAAGCCACTCTGGCTTCAAACCGAGAAGCAAGAGGGTTTCTCTCTGATGAAAGTGGGGTTCAGAGGAACTTGGCCAGCTATGTGGCGGTCCTGAGGGGCAGAGAACCCACGGTAACATCTGATCCCAGCCAGCAGAGCAGCCTCATGAGTGGCAACTTGTTCTTGCTTCATGGCTTGTGAGCTCTGGAGATGGGAGGTGCACTGACTTGTAAATTGAAGGTATATTAGGGATAGTATCAGACCTCTGAGGATGCCCTTCAGTTGAACTACCAGGTAAACAAGGGGATTTCTGTATTAGCTGGAGAAAACTGCCTGTGATGTTTCAAAATCCAACCACAGGCAGCCAGGGGCTGTCTGACTTGCATCCTCTGAATAGACTGCTTCATGTGCTGTACAGCCACCGAATTGTTGCGTGCTGAGCAGATGCGTGGAGTCAGCCCAAACGCTGTCGGTGTAACAAGTGCCTGATTGTCAGTGTTGGCTGCCATAGGAAGGAAAAGGAGGGCTAAGCAGTCAGGTTGGGGAAATGCCTAGTGGGCAGGAATCCAGGGTCCCACAGTGAGCTGATGCCTGTGGTTCTGCCTGAAGATTTGGGGCTTCATCAGGCCAAAGATCAGAACCACTGAGGCAGGCAAAGGCCAGGAGATTGCCAGAGCCTTGTGCTTTGCATTCAGGTGATAGTGGAAAGTGCTAATCTTGTGATACTGATGCCTTGTTTCTCTTTCCCTAGGGGATGGCATGAATGCATATGTAGCCTACAAAGTGTCAACACAGGTATGTCTGACTTGTTGCTCCTGAGAGGGAGGTGCCATTATTTTTCTGTGCTTGAAGGCAGCTGCACTGTCTGCTCTCAGCCAAGCCAGCAGTGCCCTAAATAGACAGGAAGTCTGAATGCCTTGTTACATGGATTCAGGAGTTATAGCTCACCCCTACAGATCAAAGGATGAGCCTAGCTGAGAAATAGGTTTTGAATCTATTTGAAAGGAGACTGTCTTTTTTTTCCAGTTACCTCTTTGCAGTCCTGGCTGATACTGATGCTCAGTGTTGGAGTGAGCAGCAGGAATGTCATCTGTTAGGGAGAGCCTTAGACACTGGGGCTGTTGGTAGAGATTTTGTGCCGATAGTCGTATTAAATTAAGCTGATCTGAACTTGGCTCTCACTGAAGAGCTGCTGCTATAGCTAATGTCATGTCAGAACCTGCCCTCCTGGGCTAGAAAAGAGCAAGAAAATGAGCCTTCTGCAGCTGCTGCCCTGCTTGGGAGCTTTGGGGTGCTGCTTTGAGCTCTGCAAAAAGTTGTTCCTAGCTGTCTGCACAGCGGCTGCTGGACTACAGGCATCTTGTGGACTGAACCTGATAGTGTGAAGGGGACTAGGGATCTTGTTAGCCTCCACTCTGCAAACACAGTCAAAAGCCACTGGCAGCCCCTGTAGTCTTAAGTGTGACATGACAACGGTTCCTGTTCCTGTGTGGAGCAGGGATGATGGGATTAGGCAGCAGGCAGGGCTTACCAAGCAGCCTGCAGCTGCAGTGCCAGCTGCTCTGTTGTTTAGTGGTATCAGTACTGCTGCTCGGTCCAAGGAGAACTGTTAGGAGGTAAGTTGCTGAAAACCTAGGCTGAAACTTGCTCTATTAATTCCTCGTATCTTGCAGAGCTCAAGCTGTCCTACTTCATCCCCAGAAGTGACAGCAGGTAGAGCTAGCAAGGCTGTGCATGCAGGGGCAAGCTTCCCTAGGTGAGTCTGATCTGAGTCTCGTCTCTTCCCCCAGACGAGCATGCCAATGTTCAGGAGCAAGCAGTTTTCAGTGAAAAGGAGGTTCAGTGACTTTCTGGGTCTCTATGAGAAGTTGTCGGAGAAGCATGCCCAAAATGGGTTCATCGTTCCTCCACCGCCTGAGAAGAGTCTCATAGGTGAGTGGTGGAGGTGCAGAGCGCTAGAGCTGGTCCTTGTGCCGGCGAGCTTTGTGCCCAAAGGACCAGGCCTGCCTGCAGTCTCAAAGCTGAGAGGGAAACTGCAGAGCAGCCGTGGGAAGCAGGCGTGGAAAATTATCTGAGTTCTGTGACATAGGCAAAACTCTAGTTCTGTACTTGAAGCTCTGGGTCTAAAGCCTTGTTTGAGTTCGCAGATGCCTCCACATCTGCTTGATATAGAGTAAAACCTCGTCCTCTGTGCTGTCACTGAATTGCTGGTCACTTGAGGAACCTGTATAACCCTTCTAGTCCTGCCTGGCATTGCTTTGCCTCTTTTCTGGATGTCAACTTCTTCTAGATGTTAGGTATAAGCAGATTTTAAATTTCCAAGTAGTTCTCGTTGATGAAAGGTCTAATTCCTGTTGTAAAACGCCTCTCCTCTGCTGTCACCCTGATAGTCTGTACATTGTCACAAACCACACTGCCCTGTGTGTTGAGTTTGAAGCAGCTCATTAATTACATCTTCCTTCTGTGCTAGGAATGACCAAAGTGAAAGTTGGGAAAGAAGACTCCTCCTCTGCAGAGTTCCTAGAAAAAAGACGGGCTGCTCTAGAGAGGTACAGACCCCAACAGCTATCCCCTCGTGCCTGAACCAAGCAAGGGACCTTTGAAAGGTCAGACTGGCTGCACTCTCATGAGAAAAGCAGTCTGCTTCTAGGTCTGCAGCAAACCTGGAGGCTGCTGAATTGCAACTGCAGGGAGTTGCTTTGACTCTGTAATACAATCTTCTGCTTCAAAAACCTCTGCTGGTGTTTTGTCCAAATCTGTCTAAACTCCACTGACAAGGCAGGGAGAAAACTGAGCTGTCTCAGGAGCCCAAAAATATGATGTTAGGTACTTGTACAAACAGTCCAGATCAGGTGAGAAGCAACTCGATCTGTCTGACTTGCACCCTGACTAGAGAGCCACAAGTGGCCTTTGCTCTGCTGCCTGTGGTGACTTGCGGTTAGCACGGGGATGCTGATCCCCTCCAGCCTCGTCCCCTGAAAGATATGTTCAGGTGTCGTTCTAGAAGATGTAAAGCTGGATCTTGATCACTTGGCAAATCAACTAACTTTATTGCTATAGCAAGTATTAAAGGTCTGGCAGGTCTGGTCTTGCAGGTCAGTCTCGCTGAAGTCCACAGGGAGGTAGGACTCTTGGTGTGTGAATGACAACAGCTTGTTGGGCCTGACTTCCAGCTACTGAACTGCCATTTCAGAGCAAATAACAAGTGTGTTGCAGCTTGCTGTGATGGACCCAGATTTGCTACAACCAAAGTAACCCCTGTTGTGTTCCTCTCTGCAGGTACCTACGGAGAGTGGTCAGCCATCCAACAATGCTGCAGGACCCAGACGTCAGGGAGTTCCTGGAAAAGGAGGAGGTCAGTAGTGTGCAGTAAAGTAGCTACAAGTACTTCGGAAGCGCAGAAGGAAACTACATGAGCAATTAGTGAGGCGTGGTGCTTCAGAGCTCAGTGCGAAGCAGCAGGACCCTGTAAGAGCTCTTAACGAATGATGAGAACAGCTGTGGTGGGTTGACACTGGCTGGATGCCAGGTGCCCACTAAAGCTGCTCTGTCACTCCCCTCCTCAGCTGGACAAGGGAGAGAGAAAATACAACCAAAGGTTTGTGGCTCGGGATGAGGACAAGGGAGGAGGTCACTCAGCAATTACTGTCACGGGCAAAACAGACTCAACTTAAGGAAAATTAATTTGATTTATTGTGAATCAAATCAGAGAAGGGTAATAAGAAAATAAAATTAAATCTTAAAACATCTCTCCCACCCCTCCCCTCCCTTCTTCCTGGGCTCAGCTTTGCTCCTGATTTATCTCCCTCCACCCCTTCCAGCAGCGCAGTGGTCAGGGGATGGGGTCTGTGCTCAGTCCACTGCCCCTTGTTTCTGCTGCTCCCTCCTCCGCAGCGGGAGGACTCCTCACACTCCAGTGTGGGGTCCCTCCCACAGGAGACAATCCTCCACGAACTTCTTCACTGACCTTGGTGTCTGCAGTTTTTCTCTCACATATTCTCACTCCTCTCTCCAGCTGCCATTGCTGTTCTGCAGTGACTTTTTTCGCCACCTTAAATATGTTATCACAGAGGTGCTACCACTGTCGCTGATGGGCTCAGCCTTGGCCAGCAGTGGGTCTGTCTTGGAGCCAGATGGCATTGTCATTCTTGGATATGGGGGAAGCTTCTAGCAGCCTCTCTCGGGAGTCACCCCTCTAGCCCACCTTCTACCAAAACCTTGCCACGCAATCTCAATACAGCAGAACTCTTTCTTCTCTGTCAGTGCTTGTCTAAGCACTGTACACTCCTAAAGAGCTCTGTCCTAGCTTGCATACATCGTGCTGGGGGCACACATTGAGAGCACAGGTAGCCTTTGTTCTCCAAAATCCGTGACAGGGGTGTAGCCTGCTGTTTGGAGGTTAGGGAGGTCCCAAGCTGGCTTGATCTGATGCTCAGATGTTAAGGGAGAGCTGGCTCTGTACTGAACATGTGGCTGATGAGGTCCCTGCTCCTCCAAGGAGAGTGTGACTGTGCCCAACCGCACACCTGATGTGGAGAAGTCATTCTTGAGAGGCTGAACCCTGGGGAAACTCTAGCCTGAGTGATTCCAGCACTAATGCTGTGCTGCAGGGCTCTGAGGTAGGAGCAGGCATCATGGAAACACCTCACTTTGCTGCTGAGCAGATGCAGCTCTGTCTGGAAAATAGTTGTGGCAGGTGTAGAGTATTTCCCAGCATCAAAACACTGCTCTGCTCTAGTGTCCACCAGCAGTGTTGAACTACTGCTGGCTTTTGGAGAGATGCTCGAAGCACTTCTGCATGCCTGTGTGACCTGTGGCAGCTTGGGCAGCCCTCGGTTCAGTGATTCAGGTAGTGTGGCTGCTTCTTACAGATCTCTCCTACCTTGGCCAAGCAGAACAGTGGGCTCCAGATTCAATGTAAGGTTTAGGAACTCCTTATTTGTTTGAAAATCACTCCATCCCATTAATGGCAGTACTGTACAGGCTATGCCACTGCTCAGGCACTGTCTGGCCAATCCTTTGCCATAGCTGTGGTGTGTGGGTTGCTGTGTGCAAAGAAACCTGCCTGTCAAGGGACCCACAAGGGAGAATGATGCCACTGTGGTGCTTTTATCTTCTGGCAAAGCAAACTTTTCTGTTTCTTTATAGCTACCAAGAGCAGTAGGCACCCAGACCCTGAGTGGAGCAGGAATACTGAAGATGTTCAACAAAGCTACAGATGCTGTCAGTAAAATGACCATCAAGATGAACGAATCAGACATTGTAAGTATGAGGACACCTCTGGGCTGTCCTCGCTCTGGAGCTGTGTGCTGTCCCCATCTCAAGCTTTGGGTGCGAGATGCAAGGAAAGCTCTGCAACCCAACAGCGATGCTGCCTATGGGAATCAGCTCTGGGTTTACCCATTTCAGTGGTTCGAGGAGAAGCTGCAGGAGGTGGAGTGTGAGGACCAGCGGCTACGGAAGTTGCATGCTGTCGTGGAAACTCTAGTGAACCACAGGAAAGGTAACGAGCTCAGTACCGCTTGCTCTGTAGCTTGACCTGTAGCAGTTAAGGCTTGTGCGGTGCCTGGAGGTCACCAGGTGTCCTGGGAGGCACTTCTGAGAAGATGTGACCCTGCTTCCTTACTGTAAAGGACTCAGTCTCTTCATCATGGAAGACAGAAGTAAAAATAGTAATCCCACCTCTTCTGTCCGGCCCTACAAGCGTAGGATGATGGTTGAAGTGACCCAGCGTCCTGCTGGACGAAGGCTGCCATAGCAAACCTCAGCAGAGCTATCTTATTACCAATTCTGAGCTGCCCTCTGGCAGGGAGCAGGGGTGGTTTTCTTCCCCTGCATGTTTTGGCTGACTTCTGCAAAGCTGTGCCTGTCCTCTCACTACGCTGTTTCCCTTCTCCCTGGCTGGAGTTGCCTAGCCCTTCTCCCACCGTGCTGCAGAAGCTGCCAGCTCGGGCCGAGACAGTGCTGGCTTTTCCAGCTGATGTCTCCTGGGGCTATGGAAAAGCAGCTCTTTGGGCCAAACTCTAGGCTGGGGCTTGACTTGCAGAGCGCCCGGTGTAGTGAGGCCCCTCGGTTGACTCTCATTCTGTTCACTAGAGCTAGCATTGAACACAGCCCAGTTTGCAAAGAGTCTGGCCATGCTGGGGAGCTCAGAGGACAACACGGCCCTGTCCCGGGCGCTGTCCCAGCTGGCTGAGGTGGAAGAGAAGATTGAACAGCTGCACCAGGAACAGGCTAACAATGACTTCTTCCTCCTGGCCGAGCTCCTGGGAGACTACATCCGCCTTCTCTCAGTTGTAAGGGTAAGCACACCTTTGGGGCAAGCTCTAGGCTACTGGTCCTAGTACCAATTTTAGGCTTAGGTGTGCCAGGAAGCGGCTGGCCACCTAAATTCAAGCACAGGGCGTGGCATTGCCTCTGACTTCTCCAGGCAGAGGGCAAGCTTGCTGCTTGTCCAGAGGTGCACATGTTGGAGTGGTTAGATTGGAAAATCAGGGTAGGTGAGGCTTGGCTGCTCTTCTGTTCTCCAGGGGGGATGTAGAGCAAGTTCATGACCTGCAGGTGAAGGCTGCGGCCACTGCGGAGGCTGTGAGCTGATAACCTGTGATCTGTGTGCTGCAAATAGATCTGTCAAGCACCTACTGGGGAAGGGCTTGAGTCTTCGAGGCCTTGCAGCCTGCCTTGTGCCTCCTTGCTGGAGGCCCAAAGAAGCAAGTCCCAAGTGAGGTGCAAATCTGGCAGGCTGACTCATTCGTGCCCCAAATGTCCCGCCTCTGAGCAGTCATTTCTGGAGGCTAGAGGCCAGAATGCAGCCTAGTGAGTAGTCAAAAGGCTTTCTGGTCTGCCAGTCTGTACTGGGAGGTGCGGTGGGTGCTCCAGAGCAGGACCAAGATTAATAGGATTTCTCTGGGATGTTGTGGTAGGGGGCCTTGTCTCTGGCCTGCTCTGTCCTTCTGACCAGGCTATCAGACACCACTTTCTGCTTTTCTGGCTCTTCCCCACAGTCTGCTTTGGATGTGTTCAGAAGCCTAAAGAAAGCTTCCTTGCTTGGGCTGGCGATTTGCAGGCCTGCTAAAATCATCTGGCCTCCTGGCAGAGGCCTGCGAGCTGCTGCTGGAGATCTGTGTGGGCCGAGCAATGGCAGCTCCTTGCCCTGGCTGCTCTGGACAGCAGGACTGAAGTGGGCTGGCGCTGAGCTTGGGGCTGAGCTGGATGCTGTGCCTGGGCTGCTGCCAGTTCAGTGGGTGGCCTCGGGCCTGTCCGGGCTCGTGCTGAACCGTGAGCATGGCTGGAGCTTTTCTCTCCTGCCAAACCCTAGAGCAGGTGGGCAACCCCTGCACTACCAGCCCCGCATGGAGGGAGCCCCAGAGCTGCCCCTGAAGTGTGAGATGGTGGATGTTGAACCTGGGCTCCTTAGAGCAGCCCCTAAGAGGGGTCCAGGAGCTCACCTGAAGCAGCTCTGCTGTTAGCAGGTGTCCCCTGTGCTGAAGGTTGTCGCTGTCAGCAGAGCTCCTTGCAGCTGCTGCTGGTGTGGTGGCAGAGCAGCACTCAGTCTCTGCTCCTTCCTTTCAGGGAGCCTTTGACCAGCGCATGAAGACCTGGCAGCGGTGGCAGGATGCCCAGACCATGCTGCAGAAGAAGAGGGAAATGGAGGCCAGGCTGCTCTGGGCCAACAAACCTGACAAGCTGCAGCAGGCCAAGGAGGAGATCTCAGAGGTAGGGAGTGAGGAGCACTGGCGTCTCTGCTCGACTCCTTCCCTCAGTACTCAGCTGCTGAGCAGTAAGAAGGGAACCTTTTGAGAAGGGTCTGAGCTGAAGGGAGGGGTATCTATTGCCAAGCTTGCCTCAAGGGACAAGCCAGCCTTGAGCAAGCCCTGTGGGAAGCCACAGATGCTGCAGGAGTTGCTGCTCATGGTCCCACCTCCTGTGGCTTCCTTGCTGAGCTTGCAGCAAGCAGGGAGGACCAGAAATGCCGGGCTTTGCTCCAGCAGTGCCTCTCACATCAACAGTCGTGGCTACAAAACTGCTTGGAGAGGACAGCAAGAGCTTCCTCCCCTCCCCTTCCCTCCTCTGGAAACAGCACGCTTCCTCTCTCCACAGTGGGAGTCTCGTGTGACACAGTACGAAAGGGACTTTGAGCGGATTTCTGCTGTCATCCGCAAGGAAGTGATACGGTTTGAGGTACGTTTGGCCCAGCCCTCGGCATGCAGCCCTCCAGCCAGTTGGCCTTGATGTGCCTTAGCTGGAAACACCAGCCTGGGCTAGCCAAGGGCCTCTTGGGCTCCTGACCGCACTCCCAGTACAGCAGTTGGCAATATTTGTAAATCTGAACGTGTATGAATTGGGGCATCACTGATGTCTTTTGGCAGAGAGGGGGCTTCTGCGCAGAGAAGTGTCCCCGTTAAAATGAAGGTGGGTGGGCGACAATCCTCTGAGCCATCAGGCTGGGGCCAGAGATGAGCTTCATCCTCGGAGTTTCAGGCCCCTGCACTGGTCTCTCTGGGGCCCCAGGAGGAACAGGAAAATCCTGATGGCTTCTCCTTCCCCCCCTGCCCCCCCCCCAAAAGCCAGAGGGTTTCAGTGGTTCATTCAGCTTATGGCCATCTCTTGCAGAAAGAGAAATCCAAGGACTTCAGAAACCACGTCACTAAGTACCTTGAGACGTTATTAAACTCTCAGCAACAGGTGAGTAGCCCCAAGACCGGGGCCGGGAGGGTGGGTTTTACTCTTTGGCGATGGCTCTCTAAGCTCAGCAGTGCAATCTCCTGTCCCCCT